ATCATTTAGCTACCCAGATAAGCATATTAACTGTGTGTAACCACTTCTTTAAAATAAAACTACATTGATGCCTTTTAGTAGTAAGTTTATAGAATTCAATATTGTACATTTACTATTAGTTTGGTTGAAATCACTGTTAATTTTTAATTGCCCTTGAATCGTGCTGCGGCAGAAGGACACTTTCTGAATTAGTCAAAAATCACACAGTGTGTAATAACCTGATCTTGGCATTTATCCCTGATACCTGTAAAAACATAACTCTTTATAAGGAAAAGGTAAATAGAAGTTAACATAAAATAGCCTGCTCTTTTCTTACCTAAATTTTCCTCTGCTAGATTGTTAGACATCCAGTCTATGCACTTTGTTGAATGCTTCTTGGGCTTAGAAAAAAGCACAGGTTTTGCTAAGCTGAATAAATTGTTTTTTTTTAAAATCTCCAAATAATAGTATCAGGCATAATAGATTGTTCAATGTTGACATCTTCAAATCCTTTTAGTTTTACCTTCAAAATATATCCAGAATCTAACTACTTTTTATCACCTGGATTATTGCAATAGCCTCCTAATACTTCTCCCTACCTCCTCCGGTGCCCTCTCTCTACCTGTTTTCCAGACAGGAGTCATCAGATCATGTCACGTGTCAGCTCAGATCCCTCCAAACACGTTCCCCTCCACAGAAAGGGATAGCCAGGTCCAACAGAGGCCTGCTGCCCTCCCTGCACCTCTCTGACTAAGTCGTCTGTCGCTTTCCCTGCCACGGTCCATTCCTCCAGTCACGGTGACTTCCTGGGTATTCCTGGAAACATTAGACACAGTCACGCCTCTGACCTTCCCATGACCTGTCCCTCCAGGTAGCCCAGGGCTCACTCCCTGCCTCCTTCATTCCTTTGCCCATGTCCTTTTATCAATGAGACCTTCTCTGGCAGTCCCTTCAGAAATTGCACTGACATACCAGCACCCCTCATCACTCTTCCCATTTTTATCTTTCTTCATAGTATTTATTACCTTCTAAAATACTCTCAAATGTTATTCACTATCTTCTTTCTCATTATGCAGTCTATGAATTCAAGGTTGTTGTTTTTTCATTGTTTTATGCACTTATATCTCCTCAATACATAGAACACTGCGTGGTACCTGATAAGTAATAAGTATTTGTTGAATGAATGAATTTGTGGTAAAAACATTAGCCAATTCTTCCTGTGTGTGGCCTGCTAACTACTAAGAAATGACATAGTTATTAGGAAAGGTCTTACCTAGTGGTTTGCATTGAAATATATTTCATTGAAGGGAACTTGGATCCTAGGGGTAGAGCAAGGGCTCTGAAGGTCAGATAGACCCAGGTTTAAATAATAGCTCTACTACTTACAACCTGTGACCTGGTGAGTTATATAATCTCCCAGTGTCAGTTTTCTCATCTTTAAAATGGGGATAGTAAAAGTTCCTTTCTCATAGAGTGGTCATAAAATCTTCAAGCAAATGAACAGAAAACATAATGTTGGACTTATAATGATATAAGACTCAGTAAATGTTTGCAATTATTATAATATTACGATTGCCCTTTATTTGCTAATTTTTTAATAAAATATTTTACAAATCTTTACTCTTTTCACTAGGAGATTTAACGCAAGGCATGGCTTGTTTCCTGTTATTTTTGTACTTTAAAGCACATTTTGAAGTTTTATATATTCCTGTTTGAAAAGGCATTACTTAAAGCTGTTACTTGTTGATGCTCTACTTGTGTGTGCCAGACACTGTGCGAGTTATATTCTAAGTATTATCTCTGCAAGGGGCTGTTATAGTCACTGCGTTGTTTTAAAAGGAACAGGCCCAAGACCATGGAGCGAGTGTTCAATTGCAGTTTGCTCAGCCTCCGAAAGCTAGGCCTCTTCCCCCGACCACAGTCCTCCCACTTTAACTTCGGTGCTCTTGGAAGTACACAGAGTAGTTGAGCATTTGAAATGTGTGGTACAGCTCAAGCAAGGTGATGAAAAGCCCTTGAGGTAGGAGATGAAGCTGAAAGTCTATATCCCATGCTATACAATGTGGATTTTAACCTATAGGCCCTGGGAAGACATCAAAGGTGTTACACTTGAGAGGAAGATTTCAGAGACTTGTAAAATGGCACAGTTTTCAAGGATTGGTTCATGTCACTGAACACAATTCAGTCTTTTAATATGACTCTAAGTACATTAAGAATAATGGATTTTAGACTGGGAAAAATCAAGTATAAATTAAAGCCATGTTAAATAGAAGTTGGGTCTATCTTAAGCAAAAGCTCTTTTTTAAAAACTGTAAGTACCATTACATTTTACACAGTGTCTAATAACATGGTCTCTTAAAAATTATATTGCCTACCTGCTTCAAGTTATAAGTGCAGATAGGACAATATTTTTTGATAATAGTAGTATGGCACTAAAATTTAAAATAGCAAAATGACTGACAAGTGGCTTCAGAAGGTGCTCAAACTGTTATTTTGGTGTCTGGTGCTTTAACACCTTTATCCCAATAGTAAAGAGTGACTGGGAGAATTAAGTAATGTAATGATAGGTGACCGATACTGGTTTTCCCTAGGAATGGCCTTATGAAATAATCAACTAAGAAAATCTGAATAGCTACTGCCTCATGGGCATTGCTAAATGTAGTTTCTTAACAAGACATGGAAAGTGTTAAACATTAAGAACAGATTTTGTTTCTTTAAGACCTTTCAGCCAATCACTGACTCAAGATTTGCTTTTTGTCAGCAAATAAAGACACACTAACAAATAAGATATTGATTTAAGAGATTTTCCATGGGGTTAATTTTTTAAAAATGGAAACTTTTCACACAATTGAATATAATTCCTGTGAAAAAAATCAAATAAAGATTTTCATCCTCTGCTTGTGGATGTTTAAAGTACCTCCCCCACCCCCCCAGGTATTGGTCTCCAGAGTTAGTTCTTACACTTTCACTGTGGGAGAGGCGGTGCAGTTCTGACTGAATCTACTGCAAGTTGTCAGTCACTTGAGGGCAAGTAAAACCAACTCAACAGAAGCAGACTAGTGATTGAAGTAAAGCAAGTGAAAATGGGGGCACAAAAAGTACCCAAAGTACTACCTTTACTTAGTCCTTTTTTTACTGAATTAAGATTAAGATGAATGTGTGAGAAAAATTAAAAGGAGGTCCAAGGAAGAGTGTGAGAGTTACAAATGTCTTCTAAGTATGTGCTTCTAAAGCTAATCATTTAATCTAAAGTCTTGTCTAAAGTGACATAGTTACTCGTTTGGCAAGGAATCATAAATATGGCTTCAATTTTCTCTCTCGTTATTATAGTAGATATTTTTATCTCTCCAGCACTTTTATAAACTATTTGAGGTTGTAGTAGTTTATATTCTTTGTTCTTCTGTTTATGTCATAGTGCCCAGCACAAAGCTAGGTGGAAAGAAGATGTTTAACACTAGCTGTAAGAATAAGCAAGGTTTTAAGAATTGTTTGAATGGAATTTTTATCCTTGTAGGTGAACTATATGGAAGAAAAAGTGTTGTTTATGTGGCAAATAAAACTTATTACAATGTGTCTGATAAAATATTTTTTGAATACTATTTTCCATGGTGTGTGAGTTATAAGTGAAGATGGTAGCAGGTAGGACAAAGAGAAATGAAGGTGGGGAAAAAGAGATAAGTCACAGGTAAATTCGCACCAGACCTGGAAGACTTTCTAGTCCTCTATTCTTTGTTGAAAATTGTTCCCAAGACGAAAACTTGAGAAGACTACCATAATGTTATCCTGAGGTATATAAGGCCACTGAACTAACACACACATATTAAATCTTTTTAATAGAAAATTAATAAATTAAATTAAAGGTGAGTTAAAGTTTGTACACCTCATTTTAAGAATTACAACGTGGAAAGTAAACACACTGCTGTGTGAGAATGCATAGCTTATCTGTCACTGATAGCTAATGAATTCTTCCCCTATTAAAATTTAATTGAAAATCTTCAATGATATTTAAGCTTTCACAGAAGTGTAAACTACTGTGACTATAATTCACAATGCATTTAAAACAATTATTCTTTATCATTAAAGTTAATAATATGCACATTAACCTCTTATGTAGTCTAAATCAATATTGTAGTTTAAAAGATATGACCTCTGGACAGCTTTGTCTAAATATTGATTTCATTGTCATTTGTATAAGGTATCAAACAAATTACATGCTGCACTAATATCATTAATGCTACCCCCATAGAGCCTCTGACTTTATGGGTTCTTATAATACAGGACATGACATTACAGAATATTGAGGACCTAACAAAATATACTTGCTGAATGGACGAGATCAGACTACGAAAGAACCTAGCTGCTGTAAACAGATAACTGCCAGCCCCTTTACTCTCCGTAGACAAAAATGAAAAACCGCTCTTTAACATGCAGGTTTTTTGTTGAGGTTAAGTCTCAAAAGGCAGATTTTGTTTTCTGCCTCAGAGGTTCTAATTTACCTTCTTGTGGTGTCTTAGATATTTCAGAAGACAGTCTTAAGTCAGATTAAAATGTTGTAATTCTGCAATATAGCATGGCAGTTTTCCCCAAATCAACTTGTTTAGAAATTTCTGTTACAAGTTACTGGTCAGATGAGTTAGAAAACATATGGATAAAAGTAAAGATCCTAAACCTTTCAAATGGTCACTATAGAATTACATAAAAACTAGCTTAGGGATGGACATGCATCACATTTTCCCCTCATAGTTAGCAGTTAAATTATTTTTTGCAAAAATTACAAATTGAAATATCAGCTGTATAATCCTCATTCTTTTACTTTTTTCCTGGTTCTATATTTCAGTGAGTAACAGTGATTAACATCATCCTGTTACAGCTAATTCTATTTTGATGTTGTCTAAGAAATGTTTTTCATTGTACTTCACTTTTTAATAAAAATTCTTTAACAAAAGATGTGGTTAGAATTATGACACTCTAAGGTGTGGGTGCTATTTATCCTAAAAACATTCTCCCCAAATCTCTTATAGGTAAAAGTGACCCATTTTGTGTAGTTGAACTGAACAATGATAGGCTGCTAACACATACCGTCTACAAAAATCTCAATCCTGAGTGGAACAAAGTCTTCACATTGTAAGTGGTAATTACCTCAAGTTCATTTCAAAAATGGTGCTAAATGACATTTACTTTTGAGATTTTGTGTGTGCTTTTATTCTTAACTGATTAACAACTCAGTGCATCTGGGCTGCCTTTGCTAGAAACAATGAATATCATAATTGCAATACCTTCCTAGGGAACCTGGGGGAAGGCCAAGTCATTTTTTTTTTGTTTTCACAGATATTTTTTAAACTGTACTTTCTGTATGGTTTGTCTAAGGATTTTGCTCCCATTAACTGAATTGCCATACTGCTTCTTCCTTTTATACTTTCTATTGAAATTCTCCTCAATTGCATCGACACCAAGCAAGACAAAGCTCTATTTGTTCCATTGCTCAAATCAGCAAACAATCCAGTCTCCGATTCGGCAGATGCTTTAGTTTTGGTTTGTTGCATTTCAGCACAATAAGAATATTAAGTATTGTCCTAGGCACCTAAACACCCTATCAGTTAGTTTTTCTTTTGTTTTAAAAAGTTTATAAAGCATTTTGATTATGCACTGTAAAAGCTTACAATGCTATACTATAGTATCCCCTAAGGCCAGATTTTTTGTTGTTGTTTTGTTTTGTTTGTTTTTTTTTAAACTGGACTTTAGTAAAGAACTCTAAACAAGGTAAAACTCCAAACAGAAGTACTTCTTAAAAGTTTTTTAATATAGATTTTTTTGTATTTGAAAATCTTCTGAATTTCTTAATAATTTCTTATAATGTCTCTGCTTCAGAGCCAGTAACTAATCAAATTTAATTATCTGACCAATTTATCTTTAAGGAATTCCACATTTTTATAAGAGATGAAAGCCCTGGTCAGGAGACTTGCGTTCCTGAGACAGTTGTAGAGAGTGTTTTTCTCTGGAATGCATAATTGAATGAATAGGGTTGATTATTATCAAAGCCATTAATTGATTGTGCCCTGATAAAGCCTCTTCTCACATGTGGTTGCAGTCTTTTAGTAATGAATATATTCATTTTTTGTCTTCTCTTAATTTGTGTTTTCTTGGTAAACAGTTTGATCAAAGAAAAAATGCTGTCAACAATTGAAGCTTATTTTTCCAGAAACAAAAATATGAGGAACTTGTATAGTTGTTTATTAACATATGTTGTCTTTGGAACATAATGGAATACTACCTAATTTCTAAATCCTAGGGTGGTACAGTAGCTATCAATGTTACATTTTCCTCATTCTGTTTTCTGTTTCAGTTAATTTTTTACTATAAACCCGACAGAAATAAGTCAATGTTTTCATGAGAACTATAAACAAAAAGATGTCCTATTATAATAAAAAACAAACCTATATTAAATCAACTGTTACTCTTGCTAATATCAAACCTGGTGATGTTTTCTGTGGGATAATAAGACAGGAATTATTGTGAGAGGGAGAAGAAGGAAAAGTCTAAAAAATATCAGGGCCACTTATTAGTGGTTTGTTTTTATACAATTATTTATTCTCTACCCATCCAGATGGAAAATTACATTTCATTAAAAAATTATAACTTGAAATATCGATGGTGTTCACAGTCCCAGATAATAGAACCATCACTGTGGTCTAACTAAGGTGCATTGTGGGAAATTTGTCAGATACCAAGCTACCTTGTGTATGTGTATATGCAAATAGCATTCATAAAAACACACACACAAAATCAGCTGGAGCTATCTAAATTTTCTAAAGCATTTTTATTCTTGTTCTCTACTGATGAAGTCTTTATATTTTCTTACGTATGTTTATTATGCAGCAACATTAAAGATATCCATTCAGTTCTTGAAGTGACAGTTTATGATGAAGATAGAGACCGGAGTGCTGACTTTCTGGGCAAAGTTGCTATACCATTGCTGTCTGTAAGTTTTATTCACCTGACACACTGCTCTGTGTTGCTTTTGCTCAAGGAAAAAAAAAACCCTTAGCTCTATATCTGTCATTTCTCAACGAAGGTCTGTAATAAGAACACTAAAAATTTTAACATACTCAATTCACGGCCATGTTGAATCCCATGATAGTTAATTTTTCCTGACAGACTTGATCCTGGTAATGAACAGGTACTTGTCAGAATTGCCACAGTTGTTTTGGGTTCTCTGTCAGTTTCAGCAGCTGGGGGTCAAAGGTCACCGAGGGAGTGTATTCAGTGGAGACTGTGAGACAGACGGCTGTCATGTCCTTTTCCCGCAGATTCAAAATGGTGAACAGAAAGCCTACGTCTTGAAAAACAAGCAGCTGACAGGGCCAACAAAGGGGGTCATCTATCTTGAAATAGATGTGATTTTTAATGCTGTAAGTCTTAACTTTGGCTTTTTTGTACTGCTAAAGAGTTCAGTTTCATGAAAGCTTTTGTTCCTGATTTGTAGAGAATTTCTGTCATTCCTCATTTTCTCTAAACCTTGATGTATCTTGGAGAATACGCTTCTGCCACTGCCTGGCACACCCACACTTTCTGTTATAGTTGGTGGCTGCTGCAGCGGCTGAACTCCAGCCGCTGCCTGCCTGCGTAAGAAATGGAAGTGCATGCATGTGCCACTGTATACATTTATATTTTATGAGCACAGCAGCCAGGACTTTGAAACTTTAAAAATTATTGCAAATTGAACTGCATGAAAAACTTGTAAACATTTGTAATATATTAATCCATAACAGACACATATGTTGATGTATAGGTGAAAGCCAGCTTACGAACATTAATACCCAAAGAACAGAAGTACATTGAAGAGGAAAACAGACTCTCTAAACAGGTAAAAAGCAAGGAAAGATTAATCCCTCTGGGAAGACCTGATTCTATCTGTAAAACATCTAACTAAATTCAAATACACTTTGGAGGTATGGAGGGGGGAAGACTATGAAATTTTTGATCATCTACTCATGTGAAATGGCTCTTTCTTTTTTTCTTTCTTTTTCTCTCTTCCCTTCCTTTCCTTAAGTGATCGAGCAAGGACAATACCAAACTAATAAATTGAAGGGGGTGGTCAAAAAGGAAAGGGGATACTGTAGATGTTGCATAGAATGGATATGTATTCATGCATCAGCAAAAGAACGATCATTTTGAACATAAAATACAATTTGATTGCCATGGAATGTGTAAATGAGAACACCAAAAGCTGAGGTTCAAATATTTGTCCAGACCACCCACAGGTATGATGCAGGTGTGTGTAAAGCGAGCCCAGCACAAAGCTCTTCCCTCTAATCCACAAGAGAGGGGGCTCCATCTTTTAAGGGAAACCTTCTTAATGAGATTTTGACTATGATCTTTTCGAAGTGAACTTTTATTGACATTTTCAGCTAAGAAAATAGAAAATCAGGAACTCAGATTTTTCTGTCATGAAGAAATTTTAAATTGGGCTTGATAGCTTATAATTAGACTGATGGATTTAAATTAGGTTTGAATTAAGTTAGAAAGAGTACTAAGTGACCCCTTTAAAAAATGTTTATTTCTAATTAACACAACTAAAATAAAATGTACTTGATATACCTATAAAGTTTACAGAACTCATTTGTGTGTAAAAATATTTAGTAATTTCTGTACCATTAGAAGAGTGATTTTTATTTTTAATTTAAACTATTCACCATAAACAGTGTGATCTTGGATTATTTAAAGACAGTGTGTGAGTTACAAATGCAATATCTATCTAAATAGAAACACAGATTATATTTTTCTACAATTAGAAATAAAATTAATAAAAGTAGCCCTTAAAGGAAATGATCAGGGACCAAGAAGGAGAACAAGTAGGGAGATCCTTAAATTCGAATGAAAGGAATTTGAATTTGAGTAATTTGTTAAAACTAGTATGCATGTACTTGCACCTACATTTACATACATATAGTTTTCTCTATGACCTCAGTAAATTTTACATTGCTACCTCCTTAAAATACCAGATCTGTATTGAAATATATTTGGAAGTAACAAAATATTAACCTGCAGAAATATTATTCTAATTATTAACACAGCTATAGCTAATTTTTTGAACATCATCTAGTTCTTTGTATAGTTATAGTCATGCCTTAGTTTTAAATTTAAATTTTAAGTTATATGAATTCTCATATACTTTTTTTAGTAAAAGGTTTTGTAAAGCACAGGGTTACCATAATATTTCCCTGACTCTGGAATTATGAGAAAATATAGGTTAAAATCATTCCAGGAAAGAGAAAGGTAGAGATAAAGAGGGAGATAAAGAGGGAGAGGGAAAGAAATAGAAAATGAGATATAATAGTAAGAAAGGGAGAATCCTACTAAAATGGTAGAAAAATGTTTTTTATAATAAAGCAATACTTGGTAGGTTTTTCCCTAAGACCCAAAATAAAAACATTCCAAGTTATCCATTTCACTTTGAAATAGCTTAAAATTAAAGCATTAAAGTATCTTAAAACCTCAATCAGATTTAAGAGTTAAAAGTATATTTAAGGTTTATAGTATGTAAGTAGCAAAAAATGTTATTAATCCTTTGGAGATTTTTTTCTTTTGAACAAAGGTAGTCTAATCTACCTCATAATATTATTTAAAGAATATACTTAGCTAAGAAATTGCTCTTATAATTCAGTTTCTTCCACTTTCTCCAGAGATACTTCTTTTCCTTTAACTCATGAGCCAAATTGCTTGGTATATTCTTATAACTTTATTAACTTCCTGAATCCTTTTTAAATCACAGTAAGCTTGAAGAATTTTGCAGTGTATCTGATGGTTTTTAGTCCTGCAAATTCTAATAATATTTCATCTTTATTACAGCTGCTACTAAGAAACTTTATCAGGACGAAGCGTTGTGTCATGGTGCTTGTAAATGCTGCATACTACGTTAATAGTTGCTTTGATTGGGACTCACCCCCAAGGAGCCTTGCTGCTTTTGTGGTATGATCATACTGTTATACTTACATTGTTATTCATTAAATTCAGTAATCGGAGCTGCGTGTTTCTGTGGCTATAGTAACAGTTATGTTGATGTGGCCATTTTAAAACTCCTATTTTAAGACTTGACTGGACAGATTTGCCGTGGGCAGAACCTGATGGATCGTTCAAGGTCTGAGTCCAAGAATACACCACCCCCCCAGACTTCCGGAACATAAACATCTCCACCAATGTACAATTTTCCCTGTGACAGCTAAAAAGTAAATTTTTATATATTGCATAATCCCAAATCCCAATAGCAGAGCCAAGAAAAGTCCTTAGTGTTTAAAAAAAAGTTATAATCTTGACCATCCTCATTTTACTTGTATTCATTCTATAGAGATGTTTTTCAAAATATGGAAATCATTGACAGCAGAATGCTAGCTGGTAATACTTTAAGATGTGGATCAATTGGAAGTAGATATGACCTATTTAAGCAGCATTTCATTATTTCTGGGATTTCCAGTTTTCAAAAAGGCACAAGTGAGAATTTGATAGATCCAAATAGTCCTCTAACAATGTTCATCTTGTAGCCTTTTACTTTGGTTATTTAAAAACTGCTGATGAGACCAACTTGCAAAGCTTGAAAATCCAAAAGAATATTCTCCTTTGAGCTTTAGCTGGAATTTTCTGCTTTCACATTATTTTTGCTTATTCAGGATTTCAGTTTGAAGTTTAAGTGGAGTTCTTTTGAAATCCTTTATTTTATTGTCACATTTGTTAGAATATGAGTACCTGATGCTTTCTTATAGTAGCCAGTTTAGCCAAATAGGACTTTATTATGGGAGCTTACAAAAAGACCCTTAATTATAGTAACATATCAACATTTTAGTATTCCTATTCAAATGAGTGTGCACATCTGTTTAGTACTTTGAGCTCTGTCCTCCTCTCAGGCCTTGTATGGGATTTTCATTAATGTCTGAGCACATGGAACAAAGAGTGTATATGTCCCATTATGTTGTAAGTTACCAGAAAGTTAGGCAGCCTGCTTCCCATAGACATGTTGTTGTCTCCTTAGAGAAAGAAATTGTCATCATCATTAAGATTTAGAAAGGAAACCCTGCTTCTTTCAAGACTCTTTTATTTAGTTCTTTCACGTATCAAGTACTTTCAGCGGGGGTAGGGGAGCTGCTAAGCAAACTTTATTATGATTTTTCATTATCATAGTGGCACTTTGATGTTAATGAGGAAAAAAATGATATTGAGTTTCTTTGTCTATTTTATGCTATTACATCCAAGTTCCATGGTGCCTTGTCACGGACACAATCATATTCCACCAAAAAGATTATGCTGCCATCTTTGATTCACTCCTTCCAAAGTCATTCCCCACAGCTGTTTGTAAAATTGGAAAACAGAGAAATCTACAAAATTATATAATTTTCTCAGGAACATTCATTTTTAAAACTTTAGCATTACAATGTGTTTTGTAAGTCTTTATATAATTCATCTGTCTTCTAGATGTCACTCATGTAAAGTGAATTCAAGATGGCAGACTTTGTTTAAAATTTCTTTCTGATTAAAAAAAATCACACACCAAAATTCTGAGAAACTTAGGTATATGTACATGATAATACTTAAACAATTTCACAATAAGAGGGTCAAAATTCACCAGGTAAGAAATGCAATATCTGTTAGCTGGTGGTCAGTTTCTAGCAGACTCAGCCCTGTGAAACAAGCTGAACACAAGGTGCTTGCAACAAAGGAGGAGGCACAATAAAGCTGGGGAAAGGGCCTGCTGACACCAATGGTAAAAAAGGGACCACAAACTAATATGTGAACACACATGAAGGGTACTTTTGAGGAGAAACAGTAAAATTAAATGTTTTCTTGGAAAAAAAAGCACCAAATTACATTCTGTTGAATGTGATGAAAACAATGAATGATAAAACCAAGCTTCACTTAGCTAGACCTGCACTGAGGGTTCCACAAAAATGGGAACCCCGCCTCTCTCGCTGGTACTCCACCATCACATGTGGAGTGTCTGTTACCTGGTAGGCTCCAAAATAAGTGGCTTTCTATACCAAGTGACCAACCAATGAACCAATCTGGAAATTTTTTCTATGTGGAGAAACTTTTTATTCAATGATGCCAGATAAATAAAGTGTTTTTGCTAATAAAGCTAGGTATTAAATGATGATAGACATAGCTTAATGCTGTTGTACCAATTTTCCCTAGACCTTCTTCCATTTACATTCTAAATTATTTTTTAATCTATCAATCATTTAACCTCAGATTAAATTCTGATATGAAAAGATTTTTATATAATAATAACTAGCATTTATTAAGCATTCATGTGCCAGGGAATTGTATTTTGGAACACTAATGACTTTCATGCATTAATGAGTTTAATATTGCCAACAACCTTATTATGGCATAGATACTCCTATTTCCAAATATACAGAGGGAGAAACTGAGGCACAGAAAAGTTAAGTACCTTGGCCAAAGTCACACAGCACATATTATTTCCTTTCTAAAAGAACTTTTAAGTATATACTATGTAATCTTAACAATCAGAAAAAAATCTGTTGCAGGATTTCATTTATCTTATAGATACTAAATGATGTGAGTACTTAAAAATGAAATTTTTCAAATATATAATTGCATAGCCAGAGCCTTTTTAGGCCAGTTTATTGAAAAAAACTGCTTTCCATTAGGGGAAGAGTATGAGCAGTATCCCATTGTTACAAACATATTGTTCCCATCATTCCCTGTGGCTGGATCATGGTCTATTATTATAATATTGGTTCCACTTGGCCCACTTTTTCATAAATGCAGCTGCCTCATGGAGCATGTGCATTTGTACCATTACACAGCTTGGTTTTAGGTCCAGATCAGTAAACTTTATAGCATGTAAGTGCCATTTTTTTCTATTCTGTTTTATTTTTCTTTTCTAATTTACTACCACAAAATAACTGTAAAGCAAAGAAATCAAAATGGAAAAAGAGTAACTTTTTGTCCTAATGTCAAGTGAAGTGGAGAGGATGAGAAATGCAGGGTGGAGCTGCTCTGGCCTCTTCAGCACTACTGCTCTGTGCTGTGGGGAAGGGTCAAAGCCAGCTGCCGATGTGAGAAGCTGAAATCGGCCCAGGAGGTGATGGATACAATATAAGTGAACATGTTCCTGGGAACATCTGTGTTTTTGTGCTCTGAATTAGGTTTTTAAATTTTGCTATGAATATCGTATGCCTGAGAGCGAACACAGACGGATGTGGTGCAGAAGGCACTGCTTGCCTATTGGAATCATCTATTTGTAGACGTGGAAATGTCTCATAAATTGGGCCTAATTTTCATCAGGCTCTTGACCAGACATTTGTGTTCTTATGGATGTCAGCAGGTACAACACAGGGGGAAAAAGAGTGCACATTCTCTCTCTTCAGTACTGTCATTTCTCACTGTAATGAGCACAAAAATAATTGGACAACTGAGCTATCAGTAAAAGGACACACTTCAGTGTGCGTCAAAGAATTATTTTACAGGACAAACTTTAATCTTTAAATGTGATTGTAGATAATTTGTGGTACCATCTGTCCATTTGGAATTGTTTTAGCCTTTTCTGTCGTTATACAGTAAGTGCCGCTGTGTTTAACATTAACATTTGATATTTTACACATTTAATTTCTGTTCTGCTGTGTGGTCCTTAGGGAATGGAGTGCTAGTGCTACATGAGAGAGACAAAGTATTGATCAGTTAACATTTCAGCTACATTTATGTATGTCGCAAAATTAATGAAAATGCCAGACAAAAATGTCAGAGTGCACAAAAAGGTAGAATTTAAATTTGGTAGTTTAATGGAAAGTTTAAGATGTGCATTATCAAAAATGTCCTCTTGCCTTTAAAGTACAATTCCTAACAGAGTAACTGCAGAGAGAGACACATATTTTACTTAGAGGAACAATGAACATGAATTATGAAAGGATGTCAAGTCCTCGAAGTACTCTGTGTTCCAAAACAGCATGTTTGAAGGCTTAACTGTTACTCATAAAATACAGTTGTTTCTGTTCATATCTGAGGGCTGCTGACTTTGACCCTCTGTACTGACCAACCTACGAGGCAGGCTTCCCACGGAGATTCTCTCCCTAGGTTTTCCTTGGTACCCATGTATTCCTTTTGTGTCCAAACTGAGAATTCCCTCATGGCAGTTCATCGAGGCCACTCTGATTCATTACTCATTCTCTTTGAGTCCTTTTCAAACGCCTGGTCTTCCTTTGCTTCCAGATAATTTGTGCTCCACCTTCATTCAATCCCCATTTTAGTAAAGGATCACACTCAGGACAACAGCTACTCTCAGAAAAGCTGGACCATTATGCAGGAAAAGAGAAAAAACAGAGATGATGTATGCAAAAAAGACATGGGGCATCTCTGTGTAGCCAAATGATGAAAAAAAATGGAGGAAGCAGGAGCAGAGGAGAAGGAACTGACTTGCAGAGTCGATGGATGTTAATACAATGTTCTGAAGACAATAGGCTCTGAAGGATTCCTTTTCAAGTACTTCCTGAGTAGAAAGTCTGCTGCTGTTAAATAACATATAAATTTTTCTAAAAGTTATTACAAACAATGAGGACATTTTAAGTGGCCTTCTTGTTCAGGGGCTACAAAGGGAGCATTGCTTAAGGAGAAATATCAGAGTGAAAACAAAGGCATGTCTCTGTCACCAGTAGTTCTGGTTTTAGCATTCCTGTTCCTGAACAACGTAGGATGATTGGACTACATGTGGAAGGTGACTTTGGGTTTCCAACAGAAAGTCCTATTTTAAAAACTTTCAGAGACGTTGCCAATACTACATCAAGAACATTATGTCTCAAGTCCATGGCAATATTCAAATGATTTTTGTAGAAAATTTTTGATGTTCTTACTTCCATGATTTTATTTTAGGGTTGCAAGAAAAAATGGAAATGTTCCAGATGTAATTTTTGTTACTTCCCTGTAATAGCAAAACAAAAGGACCCCCCAAAATCAAAGAAACA